GTGTTCTCCCTCTTACGATGGCTATATTATTTGGTGATGTGGTGCTACGACTGTACCTCGCCAATGTGGTTTTTATCCCTACTCTGTCTCCTCCTCCTGACATCACTCTCTGTGATTATCATCCTCCCTACTCCGCCACTCCCCATATCCCACCACAAACATTAGGAGCCCCCACTCCCTCATCGCTCCTCTTCGAGCCTCATCATCCATTTTTACCTCCCCACAACCTTTCGGAACCCCTTCGGGTTCAGGTCTACCCCTCTCTAGGCACTTGCTCCCCTTGTTATGCCTCCTTTGTCAGCCATGGCACCTACAAGACCTCCAACGCCCCTTTCCAGCTAGTAATAGTACCTACAACCCACTTCCGGTCCTCCTCCAACCAACTATAGTACTTGCAGCTAGGGCTGTCAAAAAAGCTCGTTGTTTACGAATAGTTCATGTTCGGTTCATCAGGGAGTTCGTGTTCAATTCGTTCGAAAAGCAAATGAATCAAACACGAACAAATTTCTTCGTTCAGTTTGTTAAACGAACCAAACACGAACAGTGATGTGTTCGTTCATGTTCAATTCATTAGTGTTCGAAAAATAAAATAATTTAAAATAGTTATATACAAAAAAATTATGATATTTTAAAATAATTATATATTCTAAAATTTATCATATTTTAAATAATGCAAACAAATTTTAATATTTTCAAACAATTCAAACATTTTTAACAAATCAAACAATTTGAATAATTCAAATAATTCAAACAATTCAAACCATTGATATAATTTGAAAAATTCAAACATTTCGAACAATTTAAACTTGTTTCAAACAAATCAAATCGATCGCGAACAACAACTTTAACAAATAATTTCAAACGCGAACCTATTTCAAACACAATTAATTTCAAATGAGCCGAACACAAACACACGCTCTGTTTATTCCTGCCCGATTTATTTACACTCTTACTTGCAGCCCCCGGTCCGACACTCCCCCGGCGCTGGCGTTTATGCTCTTTGTAGTACTTATTTTACTATTTTTTGAGTCCCTATTTCTTATATTATCACTCACAAGTTGTGTTCTTTATGTCCATGAGTCCATGTTGTACTTTCCTTCAAAATCATCAATAAAATTGTGTCACTTTTAGTTGTGGTTTGGGTTATCTCCGGTATCATTTAGTATCGAAGCTAGCCCAACACTAGTTCTACCCTGGGGTTCACTAGCATTCACCCTTACCCAACCACCAATTTTTTTTCCTCCTCTCTTTTCCCTCTTCACTTTTTTTCCTACTCTTCTTGCCTTCTCATTTCTTCTCTAGCCTCTTTCCCAAAACACTTCCGATCATGCTACCATGTTGATATGTGCCAAACCCGACCTGGGAAGAAATTCAAGGATAGATTCATATCTTACAAAAATCATTGACAGAGATGGATGACATGACCCAAGGAGATGTTACTCTCGACTGTGACATCGAGAGTCAAAGTGGAGACTACGGTGACGACAAAAAATTGTTTCACCGCGATGGCGTCAACAATGACAAATATAACCCAACTTGCTTTTGAATTCAATATCACAGGAGATCACGCGAGGCGCTCGCGTTAGGCACCCATAGAGATTTTGGCATTAAAACAGACCTGTCAAAATTTAACGGAAGTATGGACCCCAACTACGTCAATGACTGGTTGCAAGAAATCAAGTGCATATTTGATTACAAGGAGGTTCCCGAGATAAAACAAGTTAAGTTTGCTACTATCAAACTAAAGAAAAACGCGTCGTTATGGTGGAAAAACTTGCAATGACAACGACAACACGACAGGAATGACAAGATCACTAAGTGACCCAAAATGAAGAAAGCAATGCAAAAGAAATATCTTCCACCCCACTATCACTAGGACATGTTCCTCTAGCTCCACAACATACAACAGCTTGACCTATCGGTCAAGAAATTTACAACATAATTCGATCACTTATAGATGAAGTGTGACCTAATCTAACAAGAGGAGTGAACAGTAGCTCCTTATCTCAGGAGTTTAAAAGTTGTCATTATTGTGCAACTCCAGCTCTATTGAATGCTAAATGGTGTTCAAACTCTCACATTAAAAGTAGATCAACAATAGAAGCAAGCCTAATCTCAAAACTCTTTCCGCTAGTAGTCAACGTACAAACCATCACCTCAAATCAAACCTACCAACAAAACCACTACGGAAGCTGGCAAGTCACTATCAGGAAGCAGTAAAACCACCCCCAATCAGCTTGAAACTCAAAAAAGGAAGTTCCTCCTGGACATTTCCTGCACAAAAATGTTTTAGATGCCACGAGTATGGCCTCATCATTGTCAATTGCCCCACCACCCGTGTTGTCAAATTTACTAAAGAAGGCATGGTTAAGGAAGTCCAACAATTTGAGGAAGGCCAATCTGAAGTTGATTCTGAAGAAGCATTGCCCCTCCCTGAAGGCGAATGTGAACTATTGGTCTTAAAAATGGTCCTCTAGTCCAAACTCGAAAGAGACCTTTCATGGCTATGACACAACATCTTTCATACTACATGCACAATTAAAGACAAATTTTGTAGTTTAATCATCGATGGCGACTTTTGTGAAAATGTCATCTCCACCCTGTTGGCCAAGAAGATAGGTTTTGCGACACAAAATCATCCATAATTTTACTCTCTCACATGGTTCAAAAAAGGGGATGTGATTCACATTGATCAACAATGCTTAGTTGAATTCTCCATCGACAAACCACTACAAGAGCAAGTGTGGTGTGATGTAGTCCCAATGGACACATGTCACATTCTTCTAAGGAGTCCATGACAATTTGATCGAAAAACACAACACGATGGCTGCAAAAACACATACAAATTCAAGAAGGATCGAAAATGCATCATGTTATTGCTTGTAAGATATGTGTGGGCCTCGACCAACACTGAAGACACATTAATCTCACGAGCCACCTTCCTCCAATCTGCTCGTGATGACCTAAGCACACTAGCTCTGGTCCTTCTATAAGGTAATGGCCAGGATAATCAGATACCCACACTACTTAAACCATTCCTACACGATTTCCAAGATGTCATGACCGACGATCTCCCAAGCGGATTACTTCCACTACGAGACATCTAGCTTGCTATCAAGCTCATACCAGGGTCGATTTTTCCAAATAGGCTCGCCTACCTACTATGACCCGTAGGGTGCGAGGAACTCCAACTTCATGTGCAAGATCTTGTTAAGAGGAGATTAGTACACGAAAGCACCAGTCCGCGATGCTGTACCCGCCCTCATCATACCTAATAAAGATGGCTCCTGGCAATGTGCATTGACAATCTTCCCATCAATAAAACTACAATCAAATATCGCTTTCCCATACCACACCTCGACGATCTCTTGGATCAATTGTACGACGCCATTGTCTTCTCCAAAATTGACCTACGGAGTGTGACCATGAGATAAGTGGAAAATCACCTTCAAGACATGAGATGGCTTTTATGAATGGACAATCACGCCTTTCGACCTATCCAATACATCTGACGCCTTCATGCATCTAATGAATCAATTTTTTTGAGCTCATATTGGGAGATTTGTGGTGGTCTACTTTAATGATATTCTGGTTAATAGTAAATCCAAAGAAGATCATCTGTAGCACCTTCGGGCGACATTCGAGGTTCTACGTTCCAAACAACTGTATGCACAACCCAAGAAATGTCATTTCCTCACAAATCAAGTATATTTTTTGGGCTACATTGTGTCTAGCATGGGGATACAGATTGACCCCACAAAGATCGAGGCAATCGTAAGCTGAATCGAGTTGCAATCTTTCACCTTGTTTGGACAATTTTTGGAGCTAGCCTCCTTCTACCAAAGATTTTTTTTTTTCAAATTCAACACTATCACTGCCTCCTCATTGAGCTATTGAAATAAAAAAAAATTCACATGGATGGTCACAACCTAGTCCAACTTTGAAATACTGAAGGAAAATGTCACTCAAGCCTCAGTTCTTGCCTTATTTGATTTCAACAAACCATTCTAGGTTGAGTGTGACACTTTCGATATAGGTATTGTCTCTGTACTAAGTCAAGGTGGCCACCCCATTACCTATTTCAATGAAAAAATATCAAGCCCCAGCTCTCCTCCTCCAGGCGTCACTCTTCATGACTGTCGTCTCCCTCGCTCTAGCCACGCCGCGTCTCATACCCCACCACATACTGCAGGAACCTCCATTCTCTCTCAGCTCCTCTCCGAGCCTCGTCATCCATTTATGCACTTCCCACAACCCTTCACAGCCCCCTCCGAGATCAGGTCCACCCCTCTCCAGGCACTGCCTCCCCATGCTATGCCTCCCCCCGTCAGTCACGTCACCTTTAAGAGCTCCCAACACCACTTTTCAAATGTCATCAGTGCCTACTATAGTACCTTTAGCCCCCTCTCGACACTCCAACACTGACGCTTACTCCGACATCTTCCTAGCCGTCGACAACACTTGCCCAGGCTTTCGGTGGAGCCATAACCTCCACTCAACCTGAATCAGAATTGTTTATGTTCTTTGTAGTACCTATTTTACAATTTGTTGCATGGCTATTTCTTATACCATCGTTCATAAGTTGTGTTGTTTTCATCTACGAGTCAATGTTGTACTTTCCCTCAAAACATCAATAATATTGTGTCAATTTTAGTCGTGGTTTGGGTTATCTCCGGTATCACAAACTCAATAAATTCTATTTAAACAAGCTCGAGCTCAAATAACATTTCATAAATGAGCTAATGCTAGAACATATTTCTAAAATTCGAGTCATGCTCGAGCATGATATCTACACGCGAGCTCAAGTTTGAATAAATTTTTGTTTAAACTGATTTACAATCTTAGAACTGAATAATTACCATGATAAAATTAGGGATAATTACACACGAAGTACAAGAAACTTTGCTATTTATAAATGATTGGATAAGATTTTACAAATATACCATTCCGCAAATAGAAAAACCGAGGAGCATGAAAGAGCAATAATGGAAGCACAGTGACCTGCAGCCAAACAGACTGCTCCAAAAGCCTACAATATCAAATTTCTACTCGAAGAGTTTTCTCAGTCGTCAATGGCGTTCGATGGTCGCGAGTACCGCCTATCCTGTGAACTTCAGGCACACGAGGACGATGTATGATCAACTTCCTCTATAACTCATCTATTTTCTCCATCCTCACCCCAACATTTCGGCTCACCGATACAATCGTCGTATCCTAAACCCTAGACCTAATTCTCACATTTGGAACTTCTCATCAGGTTCGAGGAATTTGTGTCTGCGATGGCTTAGGAATCGCCACTTCGTCGAGGGATAGGACGGTGCGGTTCTGGAGCCGGGATCCCGAGAAGAAGCATAGATATGTGCTGAATAAGACTCTCGCTGGGCACTCGAGCTTCGTTGGACCCATCGCATGGATACCTCCTAGTGAGCGGTTCCCAGATGGCGGGATCGTGTCTGGTGGAATGGACACACTCGTTTTGCTTTGGGATTTGAGGACGGGCTTGGCCGTGGAAACTATGAAGGGCCATAGGCTGCAGGTCACGGGGCTTTTAGTGGATGCTAACGGGGACATTATTTCATCATCCATGGACTGGTATGTTTCAAAACAAAGTTACTAAAGAAGGGATGTTGTTTAATTGCTCCATTTGGACATGTGATGCTTCTCGAATAAAAAGTCTGACAAACTATGAAGCACTGCTTGCACTAAAGTTTAGAATGATGTTCAGGAGGTTTCTACGGAAACTTATCAACAATTGAACTTTTGGAATTGAAATTATGTGACATTGGAATTGAACCCCGCACATTTGGATGCCCAATACCCTATCTTAGTTCTCGAATTGGATCATGAGAGCCTTATGCTCAATGCCATCTGTCCTGCTTGTACTAGTAAGAGGCCACAGTCCCCTTCAATTTGAATACTAGTTTTTAAAAAAAAAAAAAATACAAGTTGGCTTTTAATTCAAGGTTGTTGTGGCATGCTTTGCTATGAAACAGCAAAGTCTTTTTTTGATGCACTTATAGTGATTATTGCCTGATCTACTATTCCTGTTTTACAACACGCTCTCTTCGACAATAAAGAAACAAATTAAGGATTCAGAAATTCAACGAATTTTTAACCATGTCAGGATTTGTGCGGCATTTGCGATAGTAAGGAAGTGCATTTTCTCTTAACCATATTTTCAGTTTCTTGAAAGTATACGAGTTGAAATAAAGAGGAGGGTTTGGAATTATCTTTTCAATGCTCTGCAGAAAATGGCATTGATCATGCAAGCATGCAGTCATTGAGGTGGTTCTTTTTTGATGAATGATGGCTGCAAAGAGTTATTGGAATGAATAAAGAATGTTCTGTAGAAAGGAACATGAATACTTGATTTTAGATAGAAATAATTCAGGCTCTTGAATGGATTTTAGGTGGGAACCTGACTGAGTTTTTTCATTGGTACAATGGGTGATGAAGAAGGGCACTAGAGATATACGGCTTTTTTTCATTGTCACGGGCAAGGAGAGACATGATTAGTTGTGTGAGGATAAGTTAATATGTGATAAGATATTAGTAGATCAATGGATAAGATTGATTGAAAGGGATATGTGATGCAGGGATTTTTAGGTTTACGGTTTGTACTTCACATTTGGAATGTAATGCATGTTTAAATGTTATCGACCAATGCAAAAAAAATATGAAGCTTCTTGAAGGCAAAGCATTAATCTTCAAAATAAATTTACTAGTTATGATGAAAATTGAAAACAGTAGTATAATTTATGTGGAAAGATATCAGTCTCTTATTATAAATTAACAACAATAAAATTATGAATCACGAAAGTTATGCTAGCGCATCAGATGAAGTTGGATTGTATATTAATTGACAATAATGAATCACACTTTCAATAAATAACAATACAGTAAGAGTAGAAGAAGAAATAGAGAGCAATACGGAAGAGTGGCTGAACTGAGAAGTAAACCTTGTGCTTGTACAAGGAGATGGCCGCTTCAACATGCTTCAATTGTAAGCTTTGATTAAGGATTATAAACTTAGAAGGAAAAGAGCTATTCACACCTCAAAAAATTATTTATTAATTAAGCCATAGAATTTTTCTTTCACGTGTCTTTACTTCTCTATTTCTTAATAAAATAAAATGCATAGTTAGCATCATTGAAGGAAATTTACAAGAGAAGTTGACAGCTCCTAGGAATTACATGCTAGAGCAACAGTGTCATAATTGAAGAACCCAAAGTGAGTACTATTCTACGGAGAAGCCGTTGAGGTTGGATGGCACAAAAACTAAGAAATTTTGAAGAAATGAATTATCAATCATGGGATTGCAACCTAATTATAATCTCACAAAAGAAAAGTCACAATAGCCATAATCGATCCTAAGCAACTAAGGAAGAGACAATGTCCAACTCGGTTTAATATTAGATGACATGATAGACATTTGAATAAATACTCCAATTGGCTTAATTGATTATTTAAAATCAAAATTCATATTTAAATTTTGGGTTACCAAATTCAAATTCAAACACGATGTAACCATTGCAACACAAAATTTTGCATGTTTGTTGAATTTAGACTAAATGATTTAACCATATTTTCCCTGCATGAAAAGAACTAGCTCAAAAGAATCTTTTTGAGGTGCTTGACCAAGCTTTCCTATTGGCCAAGCAATGGTTTCCGTGTATACAAAGGCTTGCTAGTTCTTGTAAAATTTGATGTGTCAACAACAATTTAAATCTTAATAACTTGGTAATGCACATCATTAAATCTTCTAGCTTATGAAAACTAACTTCTTGCCATATTTCTAGTCTACACTTATAAACAATGTCTTGATTTGACTACCCGACTTGACTAGCTAGATGATTTAATAATGCACATTACAAAATTCCTAAGATTTAAATCAAAACATTTTTCTTATAACTAAAAAATTAAACTCAGGTTCATTAACTTTTGAGATGAGTTTGGGTTTAGAATCTCGATGTGAACCAAAACTTGACCTGAATTTATCCTAACCTTAACATGAATAGTTATTATGACTTATGTTAACGGCGGGCCGAATTCCAGTTATTTAGGTTGAGCGTAATCAGTTTGGGTTATACATTTTGAGTAATTTGATAAACGAGTTAGGTTTAGCTCATGTGGATTTGGTTGGGCTAAATTTAGGTCAAACTTGAATCCGATCTATTAACTTGAATTGACACCCTTATTCTAGTGTAAATCTATTAATAATCCTTGACTTTATAACCTATTTTTTCTTAAAAAACTGATATATAACAACAATGTTCTTAAATTTATTTAGATATTCATTCTTATTCTAAATTCCTTGTCTGTTTAGTTGATTGACTAATTAACTTTTTTAATGAATAATATGTTTCAGTTGTATTTTTTAGCTCTGTAAGATTCTAATTCTTCATCATTGTGGATATGTTGGTTTGCCTGACACTCCATTCCAAAATCTTTTGTTAGGGTTGGTTTTACCTTAGCAAATTTGGTGCATTGGATATAATTAATATGCTACCTAGCAAACATATCTTCCATTTTCAAAGTTCAATTTAAGAAGGCACCTGTATTGTGCTTCGATCAAATGTTGGTGTTCGACCTTGCATTTTTTAATGGCCTAGGGGTAATTATTATCATGATGATACTATTAATTTTGTTATCTTGACCAAGTTATTGAATAATAAATTTGAATTCTTCCAACTTACTACTCAAATGGTCACCATGTTGCTATGTATGACATTTCTTATGTTCTTTAGGAATTTAATCTTGTGTAAGTTGGTGCTAACGATGATCATTATTTTTTAAGATAATGTGTCATTTTGACATAGTTGTGATGGCGTACTAGGACCTTAATGACACTATTGAATATTGTAACAGTTCTCTGTCTTTATCATGCTCATTGGGTGGGGCAAGCAAAGGTGGGCCATACAACTTCGTTGTCTATACTTTTAAGAGGTTGAGCGCATGGTTACCCTCACCAAAGGCTACTGGTTATGGCCTATGATTTTGTGATTGAAGCGTAGTTCTTTAAGTTTCATCATGACATTGCGGTGCTAAGAGAGTTCTCTGCTCAACTATGTGGACTAACACTTCTCCACAAACATGTGTGCAATGTTGAACTCGTGTCGGATAAAAACATGCATGCAACATGTGTTCTACATGTGTTAGACATACTTATCACGTGTCCAATTAAAAAAAACAAACAAAATATTTTGGGCCCTCTTGCTTTCAAAAGTTAAATTTAAATTTTATAAATGGTAATAAAATGTATAATAAAATATTAGATTTTGATGATTTATGCTGTGCCATATAAGTTTATTTTTTTTTGTATGTAATATTTTAAAAATTACTGATGCTGATATATTTTTAGTTATTAATTTTTGATTATTTAGTTTTTATTTAGTTTTTATTGTATGTAATATTTTTTTTAAATTTTTAGTTTTTTTTCTTTGCCTAGTATTTTGATTTATAAATAATATGATAAACATTTATATCTTTTTTCTTGTCACATGTCAAATGCGTGCTTTGTGTTCGTGTTGTATTGTGTCCATACTCCTAGATTTGTATCGGTGCATCATAACTAATACTTGTTACAATTGTTCTTTCAATTATTTCTACCCTTTTCTTAATTGCTCCTAGAATTCCGGTTAACTTCTTAAATTACCGTGAAGTTGAGTAGGAAGTCATGATGATTAAAATGCTTAATGATAGAACATGTTATTTGTGGCTTATGTTCCTGCAAATACATCTAGTGGATAATCCATGTCAAATGCAAAATAATTGTTGATTCAATATCCAAATTTGTTTAAAAAAATAAAATTTTTTTCCTTAATTTCTAGACAACTTATATTAGTTTACATTGTAGTAGGTTGGGGTGTAAGTGACAACAGTATTTGTGATCCAGCTTGAGCTTGGTTTTACAAATGGCTTGTCAGAAAGTTGAGCCAATCTTGATTCAACTCATTAGCTCACGAGTGGGCTCGTTTAAAAATGTTAATCTAAAATGTACTTCAAATATATTAGATTTTAATAGTTTATGTATAAAGTTAATAATATTTAAAAATCATGTCTCATTTTCTTTTATCAATTGAGTTTTTATTATCTAGTTTATCTTTTTTTGATAATTTTATTTTGAAATTGTTTTAACTTTTATTCATTCTCTTTTTCATAATAAATGAGTTAGCTTGTGAGTTGTCTTGAATTCATAGAATTAAGCTCGTGCTTGATCTGAATATTAATTAATTAATTAAGGCCTAAATCAAGCCAAGAATGACCCAAACTAGATTCGACTCATTTACACTCTTAGCCATAGGCAATACCTAGGCAAATTGAAACACTAAAAAGATTAAGGAATTTTTAGAACTTCGACTATTTTTGTGGCTGGAATACACACGCCCAAGGGTCTAGTGCAAATGTGCTCAATTTGAGTGGAGCCTCGTTTACAGTTGCTTAGGGAGCTGGTTAAGCTGCAAAGGTATACTCTTTCTTAGGTTTTGGGGGCAACGAATCAGGAAATGTGGTTTAGGATGAGTTTAGGTGATGGATCTGATGGTTATGAAGTTTCTTAATTGGATGGGATATGAGTTTGAAAGTCATATTTAAAATATTAAATTGAAACTTTGGATTTAAGCTTAAAAGAAAGGGCAATCAGGAAGTCAAGTTTCAATATAAATTGAAAATTGAATTTAGTACTTTGATAATTGAATTCCAGAGTTGGTGCTATTTTAATAGTACTTCTCCTTGTTTAAGGAATTTTAATTTTAGGGATCTTGCTTTTCTAGTGACTGGTTCCAGTTAAGGTTACATAGGGTCTGTTTGGGGAGCTGCAGCTTATTCAGCTTATCCAGATAAGTTGTTTATCCCGATAAGCTGTTGATTTGCAGCTGATCCGGATAAACTGTCTGAATGTTTGGTTTGTGCACTTGGAAAATAACTGATTCTGGATAAATGATCATTCTGCCCCTGTTTTGGATAAACTGTTTAGCTGTTTGGTTTGTGTGTTTTGAAAAATGCTGATTTGCAGATTTTCTTAAGAAAAAAATTGATAGAGTTTGAAAAGCCAACCATAAAAGGTCTCTTCATTAAAGTTTGGCATGTCCATTTTCGCCGCCTAGGTTCATGCCGCTGGATAAATAATATGAACTATGGTAAAAAAAATGCATGAAAACATAATTCTATCATCATTATCGCTGTGTTTCAAATGTGATGGTTGATCAATCATTTCTTCAATCAATATGAACTTCATGAAATGTCATTGAGCATCATCGTCAAGGAAGAGGCCTACTCCTTTACCTTGCGAATTTGTATGACATAATCATCAATTTCATGGTGATGTTCAAAAAAAAAAAAACAATGGTGCTTTGGAAAAGTTGATTGCAGTCCAGAAAGGAAATTGAAGTCTCCAAGATAAGAAGTTAAAGAGAAAAATTAAAGAGGGAAATAGTTTTGGTCCCCTCTCCAGCCTGTTCAACTGAATTAAGATGACAAGAAGAGTCAGAAATCAGTATACTTACAATTCATTTTAATTGATTAATTATCGTTAGTCTGATTGCATCTATAGTGCCATCATTCATTAGAGATTCTAGCCTTCAGGTTTTATTACAGATCCACCCATGACACATCAACAAGCCACTTTATGGTAGAATTCTGCCTTAAAATAAGGCTGTAAGTCTGCTCCAAATAGGTCACCTGCACAATTCAATAAACCATATTCACCAAATAGAACTGCACAATAAAAGGCAAGCAACCTTGAGATAGATGTTTGAACGGCAAAAGATTTAGCCATAAAGTTGAACATATAGGAAAATTTACTTCCTTGGCCAAATGTGACAAATACATTTGTTTTGGTGAAAATTAAAAAAAAATCACCATCCTCATGAAAAGCACTCAATTTAGATCAGATTTTATATCTAGTAATTCACCTCAAAATTACATATTAGGTGCATTATACTGTCATAGAACAAAACTTCAAAAAGCGGAATTTAAACAACTGGTAGAGAGATGCACGCCTTGTCAAATGATCATGCGCTTCAAGGATTCGCAGATCAAACGACTGATTTCTTTTAACTGTGTTCAACAAAGAAAATTAATCATGGATATGATTGCCTCCTTGAACTCTTAAATTAAAATCCAAATATGGCAGGAATTTATTGCATTATTATAAGTTCAAGGAAAAAATCTATATGAGACAAAGTAGGAACAAAAAACCTACCAACAAATAACAACGCGAAAATGGAAAATGGAGTCAACGGAAGTAAAGCAAGGAAAGTTCGTACCTCTTCAAATAGAAGTCACTAGCTGTGATTGATGGCCGAAGAGGGATTGCGAAATCACAGCGGCACGGAAAAGACTGCCAAAGGCGAAATCAAAAGAAACAGAAGTTTCACGTGCCACGGTTTTCGGGCATGCTGGTGAAGGGCACTGAGGGGTGTCTGGACAGGGTTTCGCGTGCCAAGACAAGTTCCTGGAGCTCTATAATGCGAGCGTTAAAGAAGAAGTCAAGCTTGTCAAGCGAAGCGGAAGAGGGCAACCGCGTAAAATGCGAAAGGAAACGCCGAACCGCGGAGTTTAATTAAAAAGGCAAACGACGTTTTCCAAAATGCTCTCCGAAACTTTTTTCCAAACAGTGAGGTAGCGTTTTGAAAATGCCGCTGCAGCTAATAAGCTAGCCAATAAGCAAACACACACTTAGACTACTTCACCGTCTAAGAGTTAAGTCTTTAATGGTCTGATTTGTTATGAATGGTCTGATCTGTTATTCACGTGAAGTGCTATAATGCCGTGCAATGCAAACTCGGTTTGTTGCATTGCTGATAAAGTTGGAGGTTGAATGTGGTATTATATTAATTGAATATTAATTTTTGCAAAGTTTGATCAAACATGTTATACTATGGTAAATCTTGACCTTGAGTTTGGAATGTTTGTACTAGCAAGGTGTGTTTGAGTTTATCAATAAACAGAAATGAATGTTCATCCCTGAACAACATGAACTTAGATTAACATGTTTAGATAGAAGAAAGAATAAGATTTTTAAGTAGTAGCTACCTTACAAAGAATAAATAAGCTTAACTTATGACCAAAGACCTAATAAGCTCAAGTAACCTTGGTCAATCTTTAAATTGCACGCACCAGCAAAATTGTAAATACATTTATTCATATCTTTCAGCTGGCTGAGCATGGTTCAAAACGTGGTCTGCTTTATAATTGGACACAAATTTATTTGCATTATCTTTGTGAAAAGCAAAGGAATAAGTTCACAGTGAGTGTTCATGTTATATATATTTGCATTGTTTTTCGTGTTATGTTGACTTATTATTGAAGCATTTTGTACGGTTTAGACCTGCAATTTAAGCATGACTAAGGATCCGATTTGTGGAACTTTTTTTCTATATCTTGCAAATTGTTGTAAGGTAGCTCTGTATTAATTTGTCTATGGTAATGTATTCTGCTTAACTGATTTGTGAGTTTTTTTGTTATAAAACCAAAATATTATAACAAGCAAATGGTAAAACTACATCAAGGGCAATTAACAAGAATTGCTAGAGAGAAAAAAAACCATTCAACAAAGTAAATATAAAGTAAAAGCCTGAAGAATTAAATTATTTGATGATTGAGTTACATATTTCATTTGGATTTTCTTGCTTGTAGTCTAGTAAAATTAGGGGAATTATGATAATTTTTTTTATTCTTGCCATGCCTAATAAATATAAACTGAAAACTTTTATCTTCTAGCGGGTCAATACTATGAGTACTCTCATTTTATATATTTGATTGAAAATCATCACGATCATCATCGTGATTAGAACTTTGAGGAATTGGAGGATTTGCTGTAGGTAATGGATCTGAATTAATGAAAAGCCATGGGAATGAAGAAATTGCTACTACTACTTTAGAGGAAGAAGCAACATCTTTGATACCCAGAAGAAATGTTGGTCCCATATTCTGATTGCAGGCTTGATCTGATTGAAAAAGCTTACAAGTTGATCGTAGGTTGACACTTACTTTGCTGTAGTACCTCGTGTCTGAGTTGCTATTTTTTTTTCTATCATTTCGATCTATTTGATTTAGGGATTCAAATACAGTGCTAGCTAGTGCTGATAAGTTCTAGAATGTATTGCTATTTCATTCTATTCTGTAGCCTCAGTAGGTGTAAATAATTTTGTGTTTTAACATATCTAGATGTATAAAATTTTGGCAAATCATGTTTCACATTACTTTCTTATATTGTGATATTAATGCATGTTACATAGAATTTAGCGCCTGCGGCATGTCCAGGAATTTGATTATATTAACACAAGACTGAGCGAAAGATATAGGAAAACAATGATTAAAATTGGAACTACTACTTTCTTGTCTTTATATTCTCTTATATTCTATAAAAAATTATACATCTTATTTAAGTACATATGATTTGTCTACTTGACCATGTTTTATTAGTATCTTGACTAGCAGGATGATTGAATGTTCTTACTAGAAATAGGGGTATTGATAATTCAGCACTCTTGATGTAATATCTAAGTTCTGAAAAATGCATTTACTCCGGTTAACAACACTAGATAAATTAGTGCATGATGAACTGCCTCTATTTGAAAGAAGTAGCGGGGTAATTTGTGAGCTTTTTAGTCATGAAAAATAAGATATTGTTCTTAGCTTTTATTTTAAAAAGAATATATATTTATGCCGTTAAGTTGCCTCTAGTGTATTGTGGATGTCTCAAATTTTAGTTTGGAGACAACTTAGATGCAGGGATAAGGTTTTGCACAATAACCACCTTGCATTAGCATGAGCTCCATGCATTGGATATGCTTGCTGATACTAAAAGATAATTTAAAACCGCCTAATTTGTAACTTTTGACAAAAAATAGAAAAGGGGTGCTGAGCTAATGCATCTTCTTTCAAGCTTATAGGGACTTGACTGCTTTAACTGCACCTGATATAATGATAGGTTCACCCTAATGCCTTTGGCTATGCAGGTTTTATTTCATCTGTGAGATAAGTTAATGGCATCTTTTTGCTTTATCTTTACATTAGTTTTGTTTCAATGATGTTTTACTTGAGGCATCTGTCAGCACGATTCGGCGGTGGAGGAAAGGTGTTGAAGTTGAACTCTGGGAACCTCATAAGGTGGCCATTCAAGCAGTAATAAAGCTACCCTCTGGTGATCTTGTAACTGGTACTTTTTTTTTCAGCCTATGCCGAATTCTTGCTTCTTCCACTTCTCTCTTAATTAATATAATTCAAATTAGTTCATTTTCTATTTCTTGAGATGGGAATTTGCAATTATTTTTTTCTCATTTTTTTATTTATAATTTTTATTTTATCATAATTGTTGTATGCGAAGGGCTTAATATTATTATAAGTATGGAAGGCTTTAGTGCTAATTTGTTTCCTTGTATATGATTAAAAGATTAACTTGGTTCCTAGCAACCTTTATTTTCATTGTACACTATCTTCTCCTAGAAGATTTTTTCTATTGGTTTGTTATTGTTTTTGATGCATATCTGCATTCCTCTGATTTGGTTCTTTTTGTTCCTATTTTCACTTAGAAACATGCTATTCTATGAGCCTATTAGCAATGTTTTTTAAAAGTGCTCTTCAAAAGTGAAGTGTGAACAACCTACCTAAAATACACATCTTAAATTTTGAAGCCTTAGTATTGCCAAAATCTTATACATCTTTATGTAAATTTTATTTTGCATTTGTTTGCTTCTTTGAATAGTGATGCTCTTCCCTTGACTATTTCGTGTTTGACCTGTTTTCATTGTGTCAAGCTCTCCGTTTGTTTTGCTTCCTTGAGCAGTGAAGCTCGTTGTTTGATAATTGATCATCTTCTATGTTCATCATGTTTCATTGTGGACTTGACCTTTTTGCTTGACCATCTTGCTTGACCGTCTCCATCTCCGATTGAACTCTGATTCATAAGATGATTTTTTCTTTATATATTTAATGCATGGATGTGTTAATTCAACCTTTTGTTAAAACTTCTATTCAGTGTTCATATACGTATTTAATGCTTTGGTGCAAGTAGAACTAATGAAGTGAGTTAAAGAAGGAATCTTTAATTTCTGTTCAGATCTATAATAATTTAAAGAAATGACGAAACCACACATTACTCTCTTCTTTCCAATATAATTCCTTCGATTTTTTATTCCTTAGTCTTTGTACACCTCTAATGCTTTCTATCAAATAAAACTGATGAGTTAATGGATGGATTCATTAATTTTATATTCATATTCAAATTGAATTAAATAATTGAGAAGCCTTATTTTTCTTGATGTGAAAATTTCTATTATTTTAAAATATTTTTAGCAAAATGGTAATTAAATATTCATACTTTGAGGCCTTTTAAGATTAATTTCATAACAATCAGATAATAGGAGCATAGAAAGGGCAATGGACAAGATTTGTTAGAGAAAATGGAATACAGGCTTAATTGGCCGCTCCTAGCTTGGAGCCATGAAAAATGGAGAGTGATAACAATTTTTTTTGTGTTGCGGTCCCATTTGGTGAATAGTATATGAAATATTCTATCTACCATCATGCTGGTACTCAAAATTGTCCTATCTGAATCAGGAGGATGCAATGAATTATGAGATTTTATGCTTTCACGGATAGAAGTGGAACTTCCAAATCAGGAAGACAATATCCACATTGATTATAGATGTAAATAATGAAGCTGAAGGAATAATAGGGGCAGGCACTCCCGATGCATCTTTTAAAGGATCATTTAGTTCCCGATGCAACTTTTAAAGGATCATGGGGGCAGGCACTCTGCAACTTTTAAAGCATCATTTAGTTCCTGATCTTGAGAACAAATCACTACTGATCAAGGCGCGACAATCATTGAAGGAGAACGGGTGGTATGACCATTGGAATGATCATCTTGATCTTAGTTAATTGATTTTCTTAGTTCCGGATGGGCTTTAAAGCAATTAGAGTGAATGGTGCCAAATATCTTATAAAATGATTCGTATTAGGTAATGTTTTTAAATTCAATTTTTTGCCTATTTGCACATGATGATTTATCAATCCACATCTTTCAATGAACGGGAGAGATGACATCCATTTTATCAAGACCCTTACCATAGAAAACCTAGAATACTGAACGGTAGTGGTGCCAAACTGAACAGTAGTGGTGTCAATTTGCAAAGATTTGCCAAAAGTAAATCCTAGTGTATGCAAGGGTAATTGTTTAAAGTAATGAAATGCAGCTTATAAAATGATCTAACCAAGGATGATAGGTGATTCTTCGGAGGCATCAAAATGGAGAGACCACATCAACATTCTCATTGGACTTTTGTTAATGTGGTATGTAAGGCAACAAAATAGCCTAGTGTAGTTTGGCTCCAAAGGAAGCCTAATAATTATATGACAATGATAAAAATGCTAAATTGAAAATGCATCAAGTAATTTTAAATTTGATATGAATTTGTGATTTATATATATGTCGGGATGGTTCATAGAGAATTTTTTAACAATAGTGAAATGAATGGCGGAGCAAGTTCAGCGATCTCAATGTTAATGAAGATGAGCATAGTTTTGCTGGGAAAGAAGTTTCCTCATCTACTCAAGAATCTTCAGTTTGATAAGAGAATATTATGGATTTCTTGGATCCTATAACTATACTCCATTAGAAATGTTAGTATTATGGAAAGAAGTTTGAAATCTTGACACACTCTGGAGTGGTTTAGAAATGTTTGTGGTTTGAAACCTTGACACACTCTCTCCTTCTCGATCTTGCTCTGCTTGCCTCCGACTGCGATGATTTATAGGCTGAATTCACCCTGAAGATGAAACGAGGCATCAAAATTTCTAATTTATGTGGATATTTTAATAGAGTACTTGCCATTTCCTTTTGGAAATGCTCTGTGCTTGAAGCATTTATGACAGGTCTTGCTTTTACACATAAGAGATGCAAATACAAAAAGCGTGGTCCGGCTAGTTTGAATGTTTTATGTCTTGACATCGTTACTTTGACTATCCAGATATTTATTTTATATCCTTGCATAAATTAAATGATTTTTCAACTAATTGTTGCTTTCGCTTTCATTTAGTGTAGGTTCTAGTGATTCAACCGTTAAGCTTTGGAAAGGAAAGAACTGCCAGCATACGTTTGTGGGTCACACAGGTTTGTTTTTATTTATTTTTGGTTTTTCTGAAGCTTTCATGAAATTTTTTAGAGATTGGTGATTTAATATCATTTACTTGATTTTCATAGGTTTTAGGAAAGCTCTTGGAATCATAATTTGTCTTGCCTAGACGAATTAGTTGATAGTTCAAATGCTAGATTTAATTTGCAAGAGGACTGATAAGAATTGTAAAGGATATGGAGATTTTACACCATACTTCCCGTATACATAGTGTAAGTAAGCTGTAATTTCATGTCTTCAGAATAAAATCCAGTTGGAAAAAGGGGAGCCAAATAATATTTCCCATTTTCGCAAATCTGACCCATCCAACTCTCTGGGAAGAGTTCCCTATATGCTATAACCATCTCTTAGTGAAAGCAAGAAAAGCTGCATGTTGATTTCCTCTTCAAATTCATCTTTAGCTTTTGCTCTGCCTGGCATTGCTGTTTTCTGTTGTGTCTGCCTGTAAAACGGATGACTAGTTGGTAAAACCATGTTTAGGTGGTTGTTTGAAGTGCTATCAGAGTTAGTGTTTGTTTGCTAAAAATCTATTATAACTCTAATAGGAATTGATTGAATTTCTAAAATCAATATTGAATATCATAATATTGTAATATATAAATAAATAAAACTATTGGTTAATTATTAGTTTGATAATTAAAATTCATAAAATTGTTTTGTTTTTGAGAAGCAACTTAAACTTTTGTTCTAAGAAAATTATTTTTTAACTTTCGTACAACTGAATAAATTCATACAAATTTTTTTTTTTTCAAACACCCCTTCAACTACTATTCATGTAGACGCCAAACAGAGCCTTATATGATTCTATAATTCATGTGTTTCCCTATCCCTATCATTTGTCATTTTATTTATGTTTAGGTTGCTGTTTGGATACCTTGGGCCTTTGGCATAGTCATCATTGGTATGATGTGTTTTGGCCAGCCACTACACTAAATGCCTGATATTGAATCTGAGCCTCCAATGCTCTATTTGTGCCTATGGTTCTCTACTGTCTTTTCGGTACTGGCAATGTGATGGAAATCCATGTAGAAGCGAGGCATATGTGATGACAATGAAGAACTGAAATTTAAGCTTATGAAACTGTTGACCTCATTTTTGGTGAGGTCTAGTCCTTCTTTTAGGATTTAGGATCTAGCCTTAGGGATCTCCCTTTGACTATCTTAGAACCTTAGAAATGAGACCCGCCTCGTTTTAGAAATTCAACCCACTTCTGTACTCTGTTGTGGTTTCGCGTGTGTGGTATCGACTTCTAGCACTTAGAAGGATGAAACCAACATGAGGAAACCCAAAAGGGATTCCTATAGAATCTTTTAAGCCTTAGGGTGACCTTCTGCATAATTCGCACTCCCGCGCGCACAAATTTTGCAATTCGGAGAGTCGACACGTCCGATCACCACAATTCACATCGCTTGCACTGTTACCTGTCGAAAGCTCGAATAAACCTTTTGAAACGATCGGTCGCGGGTTGAAATTTTGTGAAATTTGAATTTTGACGCGTTTTTGACCCGATTGTTGACGACGTCGTCCGAGCGACCCCGGATGACAAAACGGACTGCACCGGCACGTCCAGAATGTCGAAATTACCTAGGGAGGACACCCATTTTGCTTGGGCACCGCGCACAAATAAATTGCATGAAATTTAATATATATATATAAATATATATATATAAATATATATATATA